AAAGTTATTTTGTTTGAACATTATTTTTTAACAGTACATGTTTTGATTGATAAATATGAAAAATAACTTTTTTTGGCACATTTAACATTCAAAAAATTATTTTGACTCGAAAATAAATGTAATTCATATTGAGATATAAAATAAACATATGATTAATCACTCATAATATTAAAAAAATGTACTTTTATGTGTGTTTTAAGTTGTATTTTATTAAATCACTCATCATGTTGTATCATCTTTTTAAGACGATATTTTTTAGTTATATTGTAACACCCACTAATTTTGTTATTTTTTATTATTATTTTTATTAATTTTTAATTTATTTTATTTAGTTTATTTTATAATTTTTGAATTTTAATTGATTTATTTAATTTAATTTAATTTAATTTAATAAGAATAAAAATAATAATAATGATAAAATTGGGTAAAAATATTATTTGGATTTAATTGAAATTGATTTTGGGAAAAATGGGTGAAAATTTGGATTATGGGGGTATTTTTGAAAAGAAAATCAGAAACTGGGGGTCAAAACGTAATTTAGAAAAATTGTGCCCCGTCAGCAGTCACGTCAGCGGCCCAGTCAGCAGCCCTGGCCAACCAAGACCTGCCGCGTGGCAAGGCCACGCCGACCCGGGAAATGGCCACGTGGGCGATCCGCGTGCGCGCGATCGGACAGCCCAGATGCGTCCCCGTGCGCACGGATGGCCCAGATCAAGCGTGCGCACGGACGGCCCAGATTCAATCAAGTACGGACGGCCCAGATTTAATCCAAATTAAATCGCGATCGAACGGCTCATATTAAATCAAGATGGACGGCTGTGATTAAAAGGCAAAGGGTATAAATAAACCCCCCACACCTGACCACAAAAACCCTAGCCGCCAGCCCTCGCCGGAGAAGACGAACCAGACGCCGGAGGAGCCGGCCGCCGCCACCCGCCGCCGCACCGGGGAGTTTTCTGACCGCCGATCGAGGTAAATTTCATACCCCCATCTCGTTTTTCAATGCTGAGTTCCCCTGTGGCCAAATCGGAGCCAAACAGTCGGAAAACACGGCCGAAACTCAACGGCGCCGCCGCGTCCCTCCTCGGTTTTTGCCTCCGATGAGGCCCTTCCCGGCCTCCGTTTGATACAATTTTTATATCACCGTGATCACCATTCTTTTCTCTACAAGTTGATCGGAGCCAAATCACCACAACACGAACCTCGCCAGAGAGCCGCCGCACCCGAGAGCACCGCCGCCGGTAAGCTTCGGTTTTTCGTAATTTTTTGGCCCCCCGAGGGACTTGGATTGTTTTATCGCAGGGACCGATGTAAGTGTGGCCGAATTCGGCTGAAAACGGCCAACCCGAGGCGAATCGCCGTCGCTGGAGCACAGCGGAGCCGCCGTGCCGGAATTGCGATATTGGCCGAAAGGGGCCCCAGGTCTAATTTGGGATTTTTTGGGACACGTGCAGGTACCAGTAGTGCGTTTCANNNNTTTTTTAACCCTTAAACTATAAGTTTCCTAATTATATATAACACGGTCTTTATTTGTTTGTTTATCTTTTTGCCGATGTTTTTTGTAATATTTCTTGGTTTTTTTCCTCTTATTTGAGTCAAAATTTTATGTTAAATCACAAACTCAGTGATATTATTAGTGAAAAATAAGTTTATATCATTAATTAAAATCAATTAATGACCTCATTTAGTTTAACATAATGGAATTCTTACTGTAGTAACTGGAGGTAAAAAAAAAAAAAATTCTGGCGCGTATGTATTTATGGGTATATAGAGAGGGTTGGAGTGAAATGGTGCCGTTTGGAAAAAAGGAGGGGGAAACAACGTCGTTTGGAGAAAAGGAGGAGGAAACACGTCGTTTGGAGGAAACAACATCCTTTGGTGATAATGAGGAGGAGGAAACGACGTCATTTGGAGAAAAGGGAGTGAACGGTTGGGATGAGGCGAGATGGATGAACAGGATGGGAAACAGGTGGGGTATAATTAGGAGAAGGGAAGGAAAAAAAAAAGAAAAAAGAGGGAAAGAAAAGAAAAGAAAAAGGAAAAGAAAAAAAAGAGAGGAATGGAAAGAAAAGAGAGAAGAGAGATCGGGGGGAAGAGAAGGTTCGAGAGAGAGAGAGAAGAGCCAGAGCGGAGAGGAGCGAGAAGAGAGAGAGGAGGAGACAGAGGATGGTGACAGAGCAAGCCAAGGGAAGGAGGAAAATGGAGACGGGAGGTAGGGTAATTTTAATTTTCATGCGTTAGTTGATGTGGATTTGAAATTTTTCCTGTAGGTAGGGGTTTTGTGTGAGTATGAGTGGAGGTGTGTGGAGGAGACCGCGGAAGGAAAGAGAAGAAGAAATGTGGTGTGGGAGAGAGGTCTGTGAGGGAGAAGAGATGTTGAGTATGAGGAGGGGCATATGGAGGAGGCTAGGCCGCGGGAGGAGAGAAAGGAAGAAGTGCAGTGTGTGAGTGCGATCTGTGAGGGAGAGGAGATGTTGAGTATGAGCTGGGGCATATATAGGAGGCTAGGCCGTGAGAGGAGAGAAAGGAAGGTGTGCAGTGTGTGAGTGGGGTTCGCGAGAGGGAAGAGATGTTGTGTGAGCACGAATTGAGGTTTACGGAGGGGACTGCGGGAGGAGAGAGAGGGAGGAACATGGTGCGTGAGTGAGGTCCGGGTGGGAAAGAGGATTCTGTATGAGTATGAGGGGAAGTGTGAGGAGGAGTCCGCGAGAGGAGAGAGAGGGAGGAATGCTGCGTGTGAGTGAGGTCCGGGTGGGAAAGAGGATTCTGTATGAGTATGAGGGGAAGTATGAGGAGGAGTCCGCGAGAGGAGAGAGAGGGAGGAATGCTGCGTGTGAGTGAGGTCCGTCAAGGAGAGGTGATTTCAGGATTTAAGAGTAGAGTACCTAGAGTAGGCCGTGGAGAGAGAGAGAGAGAAGAAGGGATTTGGTGAGTGAGGTAGATTTGTGTAAGAGAGGAAGTAGTGTGTGTGGATGCAGAAAATTTGGGAGAAGGAAAGAGAGGCCGTAGAGCGTGGGAATGAAGTGTCGGAGTAGAGGTGTGGGGGTATCTCTGTGTAGGGCGAGGAGATGAGTGGGGTAGCTGTGTGGTATGAGGGAGTGGGTTGTATATAAGTTGGTATAGCTCCTGTAAATTTGGTAGTTGGCAAGGGAACGTTACAGGTGTGAGTGTGTTAAGTGTTAGTGCGTGTCTTATGGGGAGACACGTGTAGTTTAGGTATACAGGTTAAAGATATAGGAAAGCTTCAAGATAAGGTGGGGGAGTAAGGACAGGATGATATTGTTTTTGATTTGGTAGCATTGGGGGACGCCGATGTTGGTTGTCGCTACTTAGAAAAAGTAAGTTGATCGCCGATAATGGTAACGGTCGGGAGACTCCGATGGGAATGGGTTTGTCGCCAATATTAGTGATGGGAAAGAATGGTATTTGTGTGTGTGTGTGGCCTATTAGGGGTCAAGAGATAGGCGGTTTATTGGTGGTCGTCGATATTGGTGACGGGGGATAATATTTGTACAGTTAGGGGATGTAGAGGGGTGGTCACAATTAACATGCATAATATTTAAATTACCAAGGGTAGGTATTAGGTTAAGTAGGTGGAGTACATATGGAATCCCTGAGTTCCCTATTGTTGTATATGATGCTTGTAACTTAATTTTTACAGTACTGAGTTGTATATACTCACTCCTTATTATTTACAGATAAAGTGGGGATGGAGTCGGGATCGGAGTTGCTGATTTTCGAGTCTAGCAGATAGAGGAACAAAGCAATAATATTTTCATTATTTGGCATGATTGAATGTGTAATAACTAGTAGTAGAGTAGATGGTGTGTCTGATGGGAGTCTGTGAAATTATCTTTCACTGTGATATTACATGTAAGGTTGCAAGTTTATTGTGACTTTGAATAATAAATTGCAGTAAAATTTCTATGTTTGTGGTGAATTTGGAATGACACTTTCATATGTGGTCGCAGAATTGTCTTAAATTACGCAATTAAGAAAAAAAAAAAATCGGGACGTTACACATACTCATCTAAGTAGAAGTGTTGCTTTTCTCTTAGTTATTTGATCACTTAATTAAAAAATATTACTTAATTTAATAATTTACAATAAACATAAATTATAAATAATAAATTATTATCATAATTTTATTTTCAAAACATTAGTTAATATAAATTTATTAGAAAAAAACCACTTTATTAAATATTAAAAATAAACTCAATTATTTTGGGTACGACATTTAATAACAAATATCTTCTTTTTTTTTTTTTTCTCTTTCAAAAGTACAAAACAAATATCTAATCACTCTGACATTAAACTGTGTAGTGATGAGTGAGGAAACAGAGAGACAAAGATTGCAACAATTCAATCATGGCATGTAATACGACAGACACATTTTGCGTTTTGACGGCGACAATCCAACTCATCACCGCTCACAAAAATGTTTTCCTATTTTGTTTAATGTCGGCGACATTGACTCCTCTTTCTCACGTTTTAGACAGCAGGTTTCCAATTTGGGCCAGAAACTGACATATACCCCCATATTCTCCACGTTTTAAATAAGCGCCTAACCACAATTAAATCATCTGTCAACCTTTCAAATCTTGTAGGCTTAGGAGCTTTGCAATTCCATGTATCATTTACACACAGGTAACCAATTATAGATATTTTCCCTCTCTGTTTTAGTGGGTTAGAGTCTTACATCTTTAAAAAATTAATACAAATGGATCAAATAGACTAGAAACTACCATAGCTTTGCTAATAATATTGGATATTTTAGTTTTTTTATTTATTTTAATAATAACTAACAAATAAAAAAAATAAATTAGCAAAAGAACATCTCGAACAATAATAAATTATAATCAATATATCATAGTATCAAACAATTTCCTTATCATGGTATTTTCACGTTACTAGCATTATATTAAATAAGAATAACCACTGAAGAATTAACTAAAGCTACTAAATTACTAAAACTATAGAAAAATGAGTTAAAGACGATGTAGAAGCAAGCAAATGTACATCAATGCATGATAATATAATTTTCTTTTTTTTCTAGTGAGACATGCTATTTAATGTTTATGATTAATTTTGTTCTGTCATTCATATTCTACAGATCATTGTCTCCCCAGAACATTACTTCACTGAGTTCAAGGATTCACCAAACTTAATCCCTTCCACCCTCCATTCTTTAATATTTCTTTTCTCTCTCTTTTTTTTTTTTTTTTTTTCTTTTTTACCAACTAAAAAGAACAAACGGATCATAAGCTGATTACATCTGTACTCAGAATTACTTCCAAAGGGAAAATCAGCAATCTCTCTCCTATACATTTTGAGAAGAATTTGAAATTGCTGTTTACTTCTGTAGTTTCCGGTCAAGTCTCATGATCCTCCGATCCATCTGCACATCATTGTGTCCAGCCAAGTAAATGATTAGATTCAAAGAGAAAGTTATGTCATATGTATGTATAATAAGTTGATGAGAAATGAAACTACCAGCTACTAAATTGTGATGCAGATTATGAAGGTTAAGAGTTGTCTTGACTCTAGCAAATATGAAAAGAGAAAGCTACTTGCCCTATGGTTAGGTTCAATTTCTAACCCATTCATGTACCTTATTGCTAATGTTTTTTGATATATAACTTTGAGTTTAAGTTTCCATATTGGTTTCTAATTAAATAATTTCCCTCTTATCTTTAATTATTTGAGACTAGATTTCAGAATCTCACATGATTGGGTAAGGATTAGAAATTCACCTTACTGAAAATAAAGGTACCATTCTAATTCAAACCTTTATTCCATTTTAACTATATTGTTATTTCTTTTATTCAAATTGGCACTTTCTGAACCAAATATGGCCTAAAGTAAATCACCTTTGTTAAAAGAAAAAACCTAAACCAATCACCCTTAACTGGAAAGTATCAATAGGCTGGTTTAAACTTGATGGAGAAATAAACTAGAAATCAATTCGCTTTTATCTTGAACAGTTTGAGTCTAGATTTCTGATTCTTCCTTGGTCAGGCAGGATTAAGAAATCATGAACTTAAGTGAAAACGAATTAAAATATTACTCTCTTCCAAACCTTATTCATTATTGTCTTTACATTTCTGTTATATAGAGTCTACCACTTTTAAACCAAATGTTGATGGAAAGTTTCAGTAAGCTGGGATAAAAAAGTCAGTTGAAATAAAAACATATAATAAATCACAAAGTGATTCAAGATTGACATACCTGAACAATAGCCTGCAACTTGTCGCGGGTAATAGTGAATTCATTCTTCATCCAACTCAGGGCCATTAGAAACCTGGAAAAAACAATATACAATGACCAAATGAACGAAAATTAATCTGATCAATATTCTTCTGAGAAGAGTAGTAATAGTTTTAGTCGTGTAACATATAATTCCTATGTACCTATTTGCTGGTATAGGTCTTAGATAGTTATTTTTCCTATTGATAGTTTTTTTTTTCATAGCAGAATGTCCCTAAAGTATATATATATATATATATGTATATATTTCTTTTCAATATACCATACAAGTACAACAGACTTTTTAATATATTTCTTAGCAGGAGATCCCCAAAGTATGAAAGAGAAAACAAGTCCTCAGGAAAACTCTACCAGTGGTCTGACCACTGTTCGACATGTCACGTGCTGCCTGTCATCAGTACATGAATATCACATGCCATTTGCTATTTTTCCTGGTGATTAATTCCTTCTTTTCTATGGCCCTTAGGTATTCTTTCAACTTTCATAGGAGATCTAATCATATTGCGGTTAAAGATTACTTTGTAATGACTTAATTTACAACATTTGTATATATATATATATATATATATAGGAGAAGATAAAAAAGAATTTTAGTAAAAAACGAAATAGAAATCAATCTCATAAAAAAGAAAAAATCTTCTAACTATAGAAGTCGACTGTAATTCAGTTTTACAGAGAGATTTCCCTAAATATACCAATTTGTATAGGAATTGGACTTGTAACAAAATCAAATTCCCATATGGTTCAAAATGCACTTCAAGTTCTTATCTTTTAACATAGAGAAGTGTTGGTTCTATTTTAAGCACAACTTTTAGTTCTTGCAAAACAACCCATACTTTCATAACTTCTTACTACAAATATATTTCATTTTAAGAGCAGTTTAATTATAGACAACATTCTCAACAATTGTTATTGCATTCGAATAATAGTAAATGTATCTGCTATGAGCAAAAGGGGGGCAGCTCACGGGAATCGAGTATAAAGAATCCAATTTTATTTTTTTAAGAGTTCTTTTAGGATTAGGAATTGTAGAAACATGGATGTTGGAGTCGGATTGGCATTCTAGAGTCCAAGAAGATTTTCTACTTCAAGAAATTAATTAATTAAAGAGAGTTTGAATCATAAAAGAGGAAGGAAACCCAAAGGGGAAGAATTCCTATTCATAGCCAAATTCTTATCCTTAATTTTCTCATGAATAATGTTGGATTGTACCTTGTATTTTTTTCCTAAATTTTCTCATGGAAGAGAAATTATTTTCTACTTCAACTTGAAAGCTTTTAAGACATCTTCAACTTAACTTATTCAACAATAATTAATTAAATATTGAAGTTCAAATCCAAATAAAATAAAGCATGGAGAATTCAACCACAATCTCATTGTTTTTCAAGAGAGAATACTTTTATTTTAATTATGTTTATACTTATTTAAATTCCTTTTTTATTAGATTTCTATATAAGAATATAATTAGAGTTTTTCTAAAATTTAGTTTTTGAATTCTAGTAGAATTAGTAAACTTATGCCTATATAAAGGTCTCACTTCTTTAGTTATAGACATTGAAATTTGAAATCAATAAAATTAATCTTTTAGTTTGAGTTAGTCATTGGCTAAGTTGCTCCTTAGGGAGTTATCTTCAGCCTTCTTATTGAGTAGGGAATTGGTGTTTACTTACCAAAGTAACTTGTGGTGTTTTCATCAATTCCTTTCTTGAGTTGATTTTAATTTATTAAGATATTTCTTATAATGTTTTATTCAATTCAATTTATCTCAATTACCTTAATTAGTATTTAAAAATTTATTGTAAATTAAGTAGGGAGGGTTATTTAGAAATTTAAGTTTCTGCATGTTAATGTTATATGTAGGGTTTTGGATTGTATGTGTTGATTCCAGATTTCGCATCAATATCTCAATCTTCTCTATGCATCCATGAGGACCAAAAACACTATACATCATGGTAATTGGACAGTTTATATGATAAATGCAACCAAAACTTTGTTCAATTTCATGTCAATGCTTGTCATCTTTAACTATGATCTTCTCTAAAAGTGACTATAGAATAAGGATTTAACCAAACAAACCTCAGAAATGGAAAAACACACTGAAAAGCTAAAGAATTAGTCTAGAAGAGCCTGAATAAATCAAGTCAAACAGATCTAGTCAAACTGAGTGAAAAAGTCAGAAAAACAATTCCACTAGCAGTTAAGCGCATATGGTACGTGTTTGTCTCCAGTTATAGGGGAGAGTTTGGCTTCTGGCTTTAGCTTCGTATGGCAGTCGTAGATTGATGATTTTTTTTTTTGGTGGTAAGGAAGACAAAGATCTAGCAAGGCAGCAACACTGCTCTATTTCAATGACCAATCAAGCATTTTTCGGGCAAACCAATGATTGAAAATAGATTTGGAGAACGGTCAGAGCTATCTGAACCTGATGGCGAGGGTAATGGTGATGACTGAAGTGGAGACTCTAGGCTTGTATGGTCATTCTTATAAATTTTTTTTCTTTTTTTTCCCAGTTTCTTTTTCTTTTTTTCTTTCAAGTGAACTTTTTTAAGAAAGAACATTTTATTTCAAGTAAAGATTTTAAAAAAACATTGTCAGACTGGTTGGTAGGAAAATAGGTTTTTCTTTCCTAAGTTCCAAATACGAATACAGCGCTTAGTCTCTAAACTAACAAACAGGTGAAATGATTTTATTTACATGTATCTCAAGATATTTCTAAAGATACACAGCTATCTACTGTAGGTCAACTT